TATGTATTTAAAAAAAGACTTCTTATTGTCCTTAATCTGGGAAGCTAGTCCCAGTTCCATCTCTGCCTTGGCCTTCCTAACTACCCCCCTACATCCCCGAGCAACTGCAGAATAGCCCTTTAGATGGCAAGCTTTTGGAGCAGGGGCTCTAACTTTCTCTCTTCACATAATCTAACAGGGCAGGGCACTGGTGTGCCCCTCTTTGTTGCAGTAGAACAATAGTATAGAAGAATCTCAAGAGCCTACTCAACCAGGTTCAGCATGTAAAATGGTGTGCATAATTACCAATCAAACAAATATTCATCATCTAGTTTAACACTGTGATGTTCAAAGTCTGGGCTGAGCCATGGATCAGCAGAATGTGACAGGGATAAAGCCTGAGTCCAGATCTTTCTGCTGAGGCTACACAGGGGGAAGCCCAGAGCTTCCTCTGTAGTGGAGGCTCTGCTTTGTTGCAGCTCAAGGGGCAGTGGCTGACTTTTGGCACTAGATAGTGAATGATTTCCCTAGCACAAGAGCAAGCTCCTGACCAACATCTTCTGCAAAGAGACTGTGACTCTTATCTCCCAAAAGCATGAGCAACGAATAAAATCCCTACAGGCTTATTCCTGCTATTTCCCATGTGCCCCAAAGATAGATAAGGGTTGTGATACCATAGGTGGAAGAATTCTACATGGCAGGACTAGAGCATGGGCAGATTGTCTTGGAAACTGGGAGTGGCTGCACCAGGCTCTGCAGCTGAAGCAGTAATATCTCTTCCCCCTTCTTCCATGAATGAAATATCATCTTCTCAGTCTCAGAATCCAGGACTTTCTGCCCACACCAAATTCTTTGCTAGGGGGCTGTCGTTCACCAGGTTTAAAGGAGAGTAGAGTCTGTTGGTCATCTGAAAGGGAAACGGTCTGCAGTCTGCTTTCAGGTGAGGTCCCTCCACTGATGAAGCTATTCAATAGCCCTTGCAAGCATCATGTCCATTGCCCCATATGAAAGTCTGAGTCCCAGTATGGTTGGCCATTGGGCACAGAGTGCAAGAGCTTTGGCAAGAAGGTCTGTGCTATACATGGCCACTTTTGGATAGGTAAGCAACCAGTGCTACAATCACACCAATATATACCCCCGTGCCAATGGTTATAGAGAGTGCAGCAAGGAAGAGAGCCCTCCGGGATGCTGAACTTGCCATGTGGAAATCTCCTTTGGAGACAGCTTTACTGGTCTGGAAAGAGAAGACAATATGTAAATATTTATTGACATCATCTGAAATGTTAGTGAGACAAGGTCACATAAACTCGCTGGAGACTGATTATCCAGTTTAAAATAGGGGAACAGCATTAACTTCCAAAATGTATTCCCTTCTATACTCCTTTACTTTGATGCCTGTTTTCTAGAGGTAAGATTTGAGACAACTGTTTTCAGTGAGGGTGAGCACATTTCAATGCAGGTGAACACGTTCAGACATGTTACGTTTTTAAACTGCACTTTCATGGTACAGTGATGGTGGCACCGCAGTCCCATCATAATTTTTCTTGCTATGTAACATTTGAATATCATATATTTGTAGACTGAGCTGTCTTTGTTCTTCTCTTGGGCAGATTTTGAAAATGTGCATCATTTGTCACTCTATTAACTTTTGAACCTTACTCTGATGGTAATATGATTTCATAATAGCATGCTTGGAGGCACATATATCCAGAGACACTAACTATGTTGTTATAATGTATTGATAATAGAGTGCAGTATCTTGAGCCCACTAATCAGGAATATGTAAATTTAAGTATTCTTTTCTGGCTACATTGCATTAAAAGAGATAAGGACGAATACCAAAAATAGAAAATGACACTGCGTATTGCAACTGCTCACCGTTATCTGGTGTTCAGTTCTGGTCACCTCTGCTCAGAAAGGATATAAAAGATGTATAAAAAACTTAGGAGATGGGCAGTGAAAACAGTTAGAGTGCTGTAAAGACTTTCTTGTGCAGGGAGGTTAAGAAAAGATATTTTCTATAGTTTAAAGAGGAATCAAATGAGAGAAAGCACTGCAGGTATACACAAAATAATGAATGCTCTACAGCAGGTAAATCAATCACTGCTCTTTCTTGTGATACAAGAGCACAATGGCATTGAATTAAATTTAAATGGAATGCATTTAAAAGTGATAAAAGGATATGCCTTTTTACACAATGCAAAAATAACCCCTGGAACTCACTTTCATAAGCTCTTGGGATAAAGGGGATTCAACATTTATATGAATAACAAGAATAGCTGAAGATACATTAAATAGGATAAGTCACTTACTGACTGGCAGGGATTAGCCTATTCATAATTGGCTATTAGAAAAATTTATACTTTCTGCTGAAGCAACTAGTACTGGCTACTGTCATGGACAAGGCACCAGGGATCATTGGTAAGGCAGTATCTAAATTTGATTCCCTGTGTTCCTTGATTTCTCTGGAGACACACTGGGTAAAGGAAGGGAGTAATACAGTGGGGTGGGAGGAGCCATTAGCTTGCCAGCTCTTCCTGCTGGGGATTTTTACTTCCACTCTGAAGCACTACGCACAATCAGAGTTATTATTACTCTCTATTATTGGTATTATAGTAGCACCAAGGGGATGCTGGCCCATTGCACTGTGTGAAAACATGGGACTAAGAGGCAGTTGGTCCAAAGAGCCAACAATAACAATAAAACAAATAGTGCTGAATGACAATAATCCTGCACTGGTTGCAGCAATGATATTAGAAAAACAAATACAAATCAGAGGTGCTGCTTTGAAAACATTTAATTGGCTGGCAACTCTCCTTCCCTCACTGACAGCATCCTAAGCTCAGCTAACTGTAACATCATTGATCTTTCATTCATCTTTCTACCATTTCCATGTAACTTTGTCAAAAGACTGGGACACATTCTGTCCAAGTAGGATGTAAATCCAAAGTAACTCAAGTGACCTGTGTGAATTAACAGTACTTTGGACTGGCATTGAAGTAACAAAATGTTAGCTGTGCCCATGAGAGCTTAGCTAGTCTGAGCTAAGACAAATCCAGGGCCAGTGTCTCCTCATAGTTTTTAAATAGATGCTGCATTTGTCCCAGGAGAAAGGTTTCTCCTGTGACCCTACCCAAATACCTGGGACAAAATGTGCTATCCCCTTTTCCAGGACATTGTAGTGTGTGCCAGTAAGGCTATTGTGTATCATTCCCTAAAGCTGGTCAGGATGTGTGTTCTCACTGGTGCCCTACTGGTGATGCAGCTTGGAAGCGTGATGTGTGAAATGACTGTACCACTCCTGGGACAATTAGGACTGTGCCAAATACTTACACTTTTAAGTACGCCAGATTTTGTTGATGTAACTCCACTGACTTCAGTAGAGTTGCTCTTGACTTTTACACAGGAATATGAACCCAAAGGCCTTTTAGACAGACTATATTTGACACTGAGTTGGGAGAATATTGTATTCTATTCTCAAGGTTTAATTGTCAATCTATAAGGAAGTATTATTATTCCCATCTTATAGATAAGGAACTAAAAGTATTGCTTGGATTTTTTAGAGCCAACATCAGAGGTCATTACCACAGACACAGTGAATACAGGGACCCTTATAATAAGTAACAAGAGAACAGATTCTTTGCTGCGCCCAGTCTCCAAAGCCTTGTGGGAGTTACAGCGCTGGATCTGGTCAGCAATATTTGTTGGGAACGGTGTCAGCTGTTAATATCTGCCAAGAGATAAGGTATAATCTAGTGACTCTTAGAAGCATACAAATTGTGGCTGGCAGTGATATAGTGTAGGATTTTATCAAGTCACAGTGTAGTGGCTACAGACTCTACCACACAGGAGGACTATTTTATTGACATGTGGACAGAGTCAGGTCCCTCAGCATTATAAGGATGGCACTATAAGGATTGCCTCTCTGCATCCAAGGGCAAATCCTCTAGTTTCCCCGGGGCAACTGTCCAGCATTGGCTGCAGTGGAAGAATGAAATTCTACTGTAAGGTGAGCAGGAAGTGTCAAGGTTCACTTGCATGATACGGATGGTAGCATGCTGTCCCCCACCATACTGGCTCTTCTCATGGGTGGAGGCTTGGGTACAAAACCAGTGGGCATGGCATAACTACAGCTACTCCTTGCTTAACCTCATAGTTACATTCTTGAAAAATGCGGCTAAGTGAAACAATGTTAAGTGAATCCAATTACATCACAGTAGTTACCTACTAGCAGGGGGGGCCCAAGCAACATTATAACCAAACATTATGCAACTTTAAATGAGTATGTTCTCTAATAGATCAGTGATGTAATAACAAAACAAGGTTAACCGGGATGATGTTAAGTGAGGAGTACCTGTATATCAAAATACTGTCTGGTTCCTGCCTAATGGGTTCATTTAGCTTACAGGGCCTCTGCTTTAGAACCATTGCATAGCCCAGTTTTTGTAGCACTGGAAAGCAGACATCAGGAGATGGGATTCCTCACCCCTTGGGAGAAGTAGAAGGCAGCAATCCCCAGAGGCCAGAAGCAGCAGAGCATTGAAAAAATGGCCAAACCAAGGTGGTCTTGTGGGGGAAGCATCAGGAAATGGTCCTCACTCTCACTGTCACTGGAGGAGTCACTCTGGAAAACAAATGGATTTAGTGTTGTTGAACATGCCGGACTGTCAGCCACAGAGAGGACCCAAGCATTGCAAGCTTTCCCCATTAATGGCCCAGAGGAATAGGCTGATTGCCAAAAAGTGAGTCTGCCCCTGCTATACAGCATGAAGACATCCTGTAAAAATTGGAAAGACCCTGTAGAAATCAGGACCTGGAGACATGTAGTGCTCTTCCCCAACCTCAGGTGACTCAAGCTTTCCCTAAAGGGATTTGCCATAGGGATAAAAAACAAGTTATACCTCTATGGGCTATTCAAGGCTTCAGCCTCTGCTTGGGCATAGCTGTAATACAGACCACCACAAAGCCACCAATGGAAACTACCTTTGGTCACTTAACTACTTAAGGCCCTTCCTGAGTCTGAGCTGCCCCCATATGTCATCCTATCTATGGGTTTTCCAAGGTTCCTCTCATCCTGTATCTGTGCAGTGATCTCCCCCATGCCCTGCACTCTAAGCATTTCACAGCGTCTTCCCTTTCCTCTCCTTCACTTTTATATATTCTTATACTCTTCTTACCATCAAATTCAGGGAATGAGTTTCTAAAAGATTATATCTCCAGAGACTGGTTTGATGAGAAAAAGGTTGTGACAAAAATTCAGAGAATAAAGTAGATTCTCATTTTCCTGCCAGAGTAAGTCCATGGTGGGGAATTTGGATTTCCCTGGAAATCATTCTTAAACCTAAATGTCTTGGGTTTTGATATAATGGGCTGTTGTCAGGTTTAGCAAAATACCCTATTCCCATTAGGACTAGATGGCCCAATTGGCTGCCAAGTGAGGTTAGCAAGTAAAGAAAAGGGATTTGAGCCTATCCCAAGGTTGTGAGAGCCCTCCCTCATCTTTTCAAGGTGTGTGCTCTGCAAAATGTCTCCAGGACTTTTCTTTCTATTGGGAATACATCTTGCCCTACAGAGTACCTGTCATAGCATGAACCCGTGGAAAGGAAGAAAGCCGTGTTTCAGTCTGGAAAGAGCATCTTCCCAGGATCTAAGCAACGGGATTTGGAGAAAGCCTATAGCTGCCAATTAGAGAAGGGCCTGGGGAATCCACCCAACACAGTGCTACCTTTCTGAGCCTTGCATACTGTTCCCAGTCTCTCCATTGCACAGAAAATCCTGAGTGGGCCCAGGGTGCATGTGTGTAACCAGCCATAACTAGGATTTAAGAGCTTATTATTTTATCACAAGACTCATGTTTATATTTTAAGCATCTCACAAACTTGCAAACTGTGCTCTTCTCTCAGTTTCCCGTTACATTTGGTAGCACTGAAGCAGCTGCCATAGTTAAGACAGCCACCACAGCTACTGCCCATGCACTGGAAAATAAGGCTGCCCCTCATAAAGATGGCTGTCATCTCTTAGTGCTTTCAGTGAGATTGACAGCAGGGAAGATGTCCTGAAATTAGGAACAGGAGAATAGAAATTGTGATGAGACACAGAAATACTGGGAGAATGGAGAGAGACGGAGGAAACAGGAAAATGCAGGATTCAGGGGAGGACACAGAAGAGACTATGGCAAATAGGAGAGCAGGGAAAAAAACTGAGGTGAATATCTGGGTAGGGGGAAGGATGAGGGGTGCAAATAAGGGAAATGGAGAAGGAGGTGAAGAGGAATGGAAGAACATGAAGGAGACTGGGAGAACTGAACAGTAAAACCCTTTCAGGGGATAGGGAGGAAATATGAGCAGCTGCTGAATACAGGAAACTAGAGAAGTGAGGAACAAGGCAGTGCATGGGGCTGGAGACTGGGTGTACCAGAGAGGCTGCCAGGGTGGGACTAAAAGGAGAGAGTGAGGGGTGTAGAGGGAAGGGCTGGAGATGGAGAGAATGGAGCTTCCTGGGCCCTCTGAAAAACTAACCCTAGTATCTGCTGTTTTGTGATGTAGCAACATGCACAGGATAGGATTAATCTGCCACACAAAGTGGGGTATCCTGTGCTTTCTACACTTGCCCCTCACATTTAAAAAGTGACATTTTTAGAACCCCCGAAAGGCTCACCCTCTTGAATGAGTTCAAGGCCAACCCAAGTTACTTTCCAACCATAAAAAGTTGAACCTTTGTGGCAAAGCTGAGGGTAACTGGAAGGCTCTTCACCCCAGCTGGGCAGGGCAAGGATTGGAGTTCTAGGAATAAACCTTTGGCAGCCGGCCAGACACTCACAGAAAGGTAATGTTTAACTACCACGATGGCAACACCAAAAGGATCTCCCACCAAAAATCACATCAAGAGGCACTGAAGGAAGAAACTGTATGTGTTTTAGTGATGCAGAGTAAACATCTGGAAGTGTATGCTATCTGTTTAACCCTTGCAGTGTCATTTGTGCAGAATCCATCCTGCTGGACAGATAGACACAACTAGCAGGAAAGCAGCCTCCAAATATTCCTCCCCAAAGGAGCTCACCTCATATTCCTGGAATTCCTCCTCCTCTACCTCATAGGATACGGTTTGGATTCTGATATCGCTGTCCACCAGGCATGGCCCTTGTACTTCTCGCCCGTCTGGAGCCTCGGAGGGTGCCTCTTTGTTTTCCACAAAGGTTGTTTCACAGCTCTCCCCTTTGTTGTCCTTGGCTTTGAGGTTAGCCTCATCCTTCACCAGGATGAAGTCAGGGCCATACAATGCTTCTACAGCCAACTGCAGAGAACTGGCATCAAGCAGCTGGTGAGTCCTGGTGGTGCCAGTGTTTTGAAAGAAGTAGGAGTACAGTTTTCCCTGGCAGCGGTGACTAGGGTAATCCTGGTTGTGATGCTGGTGGTAAGAGTAGCTGCCATGAAGGTGCCCATTGCTGTTGGCCAGCAGTGGGTTTTGAAGCTCACTCATACTTTCCATTCTGCTGAAAATTGCTTGAAGGAGCTGAAAGGAGGGTGACCCTGAAGAATAAAAAAAGGTAGAAGAAATGAGTGCAAGAAGTCAGCCCAAAGCAGAATTAGAATCAGTTGTACCATTTATGGTAAAGTTTACTAGTCACAACAGAGATTATGGCAGGCTGCTGTCCAGTGGGAAATGGCAGGATCTGGCTGCCCAGCAGAGAATAACAATGATGAGAACCCCTTTCGCAGGACATGAACACTGTCTCCAAGAACTGAGGATCTGTATATCTGTCACAAACTGATAGTGAGAGAAGGATGTGGCCCGGTGATGAGATGATCTGATCCAGGCTGGAATGAGAACAGGATTTGCTGTATCTATAATGCATCTGGAAAGTGGAACATACAGTCTGACAAGAATGCCCATTGCATCCTTTGTGCTGGATCATAATGTGTGTTGCTACAAAGGATAACAGATGGCACCAGAGTAGATATGAGGCCAATATCCATTGGGAAGCCTCCCTGATATCTGGAACTAGCAGGAGCTGCAATAAATTACAGCCCTTCAGGCACTGTAGGTTTAGCTAATTCAGCAATACTCAGACTGTGGTTCCCAAGTCACAAGTATCTCTTCAATGTATCACCTGCTTTTCTGCACAGAAAATATTATCAGAGGTGTTTAGGGAAGTTAACTTTTTTTTACTGTGTGTGTTAGGTGAGTCTTTCCTGCAGCCTCGAGTAATGAAATGCACATGCTATCTACCTCTACCAGCCTTGGCACAAGTAATTTTTGCGTTTGAACTGGAGATTGTTTGCCACAATTCTCATAGGGATTGGATATGCTGTTAACACTGACTACTTATGTGACTCCTGAGCCAGTCAGGACAGAGTGTCACTGAGCTAATGACTTCAGCATATACTGGAACTTTACTACCTGAGCAAGTTTGTGGACAGCATGAAACTGAGAAGGACTGTGAACATGTCAGAGGATGTGAGTGCAATTCAGAAGGACCTTGACAGATTGGAAAGTTGGGCTAGAGCTAACAGGATGAAGTTCATTGTGGACATATGGAAGGTGCTACACTTCAGGAGGAATAATCAAAAATACAAATGTAAAATGGGTGACACCTGGCTATGGAAAAGGACTTGCAAGTCTTGGTAGATCACACACTCAATATGACTTTGCAGTGTAATGCAGTGGCACAAAAGGCAAACATGGTTTTGGGGTGCATCAATAGAAGCATTAGGTGAAAGGTACGGGAGGTGATAGTGGCCTTCTAGTTGGCACTGGTCAGGCCTCATCTGGAATACTGTGTGCAGTTATGGGCTTCTCATTTTAAGAAGGAGATGGAAAAGTTAGAGAGGGTCCAGAGGCAGGCAACAAAGGTGATCCAGGGCTTAGAAAGCAAGTCATATGAGGAGAGGCTGAAGGAGCTAGGCATGTTCAGCTTGTGGAAAAGGTGCTTAGGTGGGGACATGATAGCAGTCTTCAAATACTTGAATACTTGCCATAAAGAAGAGGGAAAACACCTTTTCTCTCTTGCTGCAGAGAAGGGGATGCTGACCAATGGCTTGAAGTTGCAGCAAAGTTGAGATTGGATATCAGGAAAAACTTCTTCACTGTTAGAATAGTGAGGCAGTGGAATAGACTGCCTGGGGAAGCTGTGGGCTGTCCGTCACTGGAGGTGTTGAGGAAGAGATTGGACAGCCACTGGTCAGAGATGATTTAGGCGTAGCTATGTCTATTTTCTGCCATGGGTATTTCCCATGTTTCCGGGCTTTGCTGGTTGCCCTCCCCACACTTCCCCTTTATTTTGCTATATGTATGAGGGTGTTTTTAAGCCTTCCCAGAGGCACTGGGTATTGGGTACAGCCAAGGCTGGGGAATGTGATGGGTATACCAATGCTCCTGCTCAAATCAAAGCTGGAGGTTCCTGGCTAGAAGGTTTTGCCCCTCTGCTCAGGGTCAGACTGATCACTGTATTTGGGGTCAGGAAGGAATTTTACTCCATGGTCAGATTGGTATGAACTATGGGGGTTTTTGCCTTCCTCTGTAGCAGGCGGCATGGGCCTCTATCTGGGACCTCTTGAATGTATATTGACACAACTTTATAAAAGCAAGACACTGGCTCCCATAGTTCCCCTGTGTTACCTTTACATTGTGTCAGGTTTGACGGTAGTCTTATGTAGAGTTTAGGTTATGATTGTGTAGGATGGCTTGGATAGGCATCTTCCTGCCTCAGGCAGGGGATGAAGCAGATAACATCTAGAGGTCTCTTCTAGCCCTACTTTTCCATGACTAGAGTTCTTTAACGCCTGGAATGGTGGGTAGTGAGGGAAAGAACAGAAGACCAGAAAGATAGACAAACCTTTGCAAGGATACTTTAAATAACATTCCAGTCTTGTTCTTAGCCTAGGAGCTTGCCATCAATAGTTTTTATACAAAGGAAAATAAGGGAGCTTAACACTGAAAGGGAATTTTTGTCCAGTACGAGCTCTGTGTGTAGGTTATGGCATTCATGGGTGGATCCAGAATTTTGAAAATGGGAATGCAGAGAGTGTGAGGTGCAACATACCATATAAAATAAGACACATTTTTTTGGTTAAAGAGAAACTAGAAGCTTTAATAAAATGCTAGGAGCCTAGGGTTGTATTATTAAGTTTAAGATTGAGGCAAAAACAAATATGAATTTATTGGAGTGAGTTAAAAACAATATGCAGGGCTGTGAAATAAGAGCTGTGTTACCAGGTGCAGCTAACAGACATCAGAACTCCAGAAGGGATAGCTTGATTGGTGGTACATCAAGATGTTAAAAAGAAAAGAAGGTCATTAACACCTGTGGAATGAAGAGGTTAGAAGGGATCACATTGATGATAATGAGCCATGAAATCAACTGACTCTCTCAACATTGCCTGGCTAGAAATGCTGCTGCCATTGCCAGGCAGCTGGTTTTAAACTTTGCGTGTAGCAGAAATAAAAGTGGGGTGCAAGTGCACCAGTGCAATCCTCCCATAAATCTGCCCCTGACAGCACTTCTGTCTGCAAATTAGCACTGAGGCATAGTGCTGAGGGAATTTTAATGACAGTGAAGAATCATTTCCTTTCAGATAATGTGGCTTTGTAGGAAAAATGTTGATTTGCCAAACTTTTTTGAGCTTCTATCAGTAAAATCTAAATGAGATTGCAAAATTAAGTGAAACACTTAATTCTGAAATGTCAATCTAAAACGATTCTTTTCCCCATTTCAGAATATTGAAACATGTTTGTTTGATAATAAGGTTCCCCCCCCCTTTGTATTTCTGAATTAAAAAATTTAGGAATCTTCCGTTCTTGGAAACTGTTTGATATTTCAATGTCCTAACTCACCTGGGAATAAAAGCAAATGTTGTTCTATACAAATTTCCTAGGAGACAAGATACCACTTACCTAGCTACTTCTAACAGTCAAGTATTCTGTTTTACTACGCTTCATCATCGTGCACCTGTCTCCTAAACAGAAATCAAGTGGCAACCTTACTTTGTCTTGAAGTACAAAACATTCCTCCTCCTCAGAGATTCCAGACATTTCTTTCTCTGAAGTATATTATACAGTATAGGCAAACACATCTATCCGGTATATGGCTGGCTGTGGTATTTCACTCTGTCTGATACATGTCATATCACTGGGTTTTAACTCCACTCTCAAGAAGAAAATTTAAATAAAGAAGCATGAATCAAAAACTCTAGAGAATGAAGAGCCCAATTAGTTCAAAAGCCAGTGCAAGATTTTTTCCCTACTGTATAATTTCTAGTGTTGAATCTGGCTTAAAATATCACTATCAGTGGGGTTTCGATTCCTTCCTTGAGGACAGCATTCCCTAAGTCTATAAAAGTTGAGCTACATCTCAGAAAAAAGAAATAATTCACATATTCCTCCCCCTTCCCACCCCAGCCTCAGCACTACCTTGCATCGTTAAGGCATATCCATTTTAACACAGACGTTGTTCATGGCTCTTCGGGGTGGATTCACAGGTGATGCAGTGACACAGACGCACTGTTCTCTGTTGCTGCAGCCATGGGAGCAGCAGCTGGTGACTTTTTGAAGTCCCCAAATCAGGTAAGACTTTCCCCACTCCCTTCTTCTCCATACACAACAGCATCTCCCCTTTCTTCACCTTCCCTTCCTCCTCTCCCCAACCCACTGCTGCCGCTGTCTCTGGCTGCTCAAGGGGTAGGGACAGAGGGATGCTCCAAAGTCACTTCTGCTGACTCCAGCTGGGCTTTATGGGAAGCCGGGCTCAGCCAGGGAGAGCAACAGCAGGGAGTGAGCTTCTCCTCCCTGCCTGGTCCCCCTGGGTGTTCCTTGCCAGACTAGGAGCAGGTGCAGGGGAAGGGAATCTGCCTGCCACTACTGCAGCTGCTGTCTGTGGCTGAACCTGGCTCGGCATGCAGCCCAGCTGAAGCAAGGCAGGAGGAGCTCTGGAGCCTCCCCTCAGCCCTGGGGCAGCTGGGGATACTGGGGACAGTAGCAGGCAGAAGAGAAAGGAAATGGGATGGGGTGGAGGGGGGTGTGCCTCCATGCATGGAAGGGCAGGGACGATTGTTACCTCATCATTGAGGGACTTAAAATAAGGCCCTAGCTGCTGCTCCTGAGATGTGGTCTGCCTGCCCTGGGGTGGGGAGGCTGGCAGCAGGGGGTGCAGCCACCCCTGCAATGCTGGTTGCTGCTCCCACACAAAATCCTGGATTCATCCCTGTGGTTCTGCCTTGGCATGCGGAAGTATGCCCCATCCTCTTCATTTTCTCAACCTGGTGAGAAATTATATGTGAACAACTAATAAGTAAGGAGATCTAGTAACATGCATTATGAATAAAGGCAGGTTAAGGAATGTATAGGAGCCTGGATAATAACTTTTTAAATATTAAAGAAATGATATAATACATTTATTTTGCCACTGACTGTTATTTCCGCAATGCATTGAGAACTGGATTTGGAGGGCAGGAATGGGAAAATGGAATAGAATGTGGTCCCACTCTTCAGGAAAAGATGAATAAACCTGACCATCACTTTCCTATAAACTTAA